TCTCATTGGCCTAATTCTTCCCTCGTTGGCCTAATTCCGCGATTTTTGGGTTCCTCGGTGGGGATCCTCGGCCGGCGCGCTCCCGGGACGGGGGGTCCCCGGGGGCCGGCGGGTTGCCGGCTCGCGTCGCGCTCGAGGATCAGGGCCGGCACCGGTGAGGGCCTCCTCTCCCTCGGGCCCGATGCTGCTTTTTCCCGAGGCGTCCCTCGTCCTGGGCTGGTCCCGGTTGGCCTGGGGCTCGATCGGAGCCGTGGCCCCAGGTGTCCCTCCCTCGAGGAGAACGCCCTGGATGTCCTCGGTGGTCCCCGAGGCGCCACTTAATCTCAATTCTCGTGGGTCTTTTTGGCCCGTCCGGCGCGCCAATGCATGGCCGCGGACGGGCTCCTCGGAGACACAGAGACGCCTCCTCGAGGGTGTCGGCGATGGTCGGGGCCTCGCAGGTGGGCTCCTGCCCGCCGGTCCGGCGCCTGGCCGGGAAGTCGGCACCCTCCCCGCGGGCGGGCCTCCTCACGCCGCTAGGACGAACTGAGGCCCTGCCCCCGCGGGTCCGGCATCCGGCGGCCTCTGCAGGTCCGACCCCTGCGTGGTTCAGGTGGCCCGAGGGGAGAGAGACCGGTGTCGCCCTGGGTGGCGGAAATTCGGCCGTCGGTGGTGCTCGGGATGTTGCCCTGGTGGTGCCTCGTCGACGCTTCCTCCTGTCGAGATCCCGACGGCCCTGACGTCGTGTTGTGGGTCGTCCCTCGGAGGTCGAGCGTCGCGCGCGCGGAGCCGGGCCGTCGCGCTTATAGCTACCGAAAGCGAGCGCGGCCCAGCAACGGCAATTCTCCATTTCTAGCGGATTGAATTAAAATTATCACGCTTCATTTGCCTAATATGGCTTAAGGCCCAAGGGATGCAAACCAACAACAAAAAAAAATATATACCGAAACGGTCGGTTCATAGTTTCTTCCAGGTACGCCACTGGAGAAAGAGAGAGAGGAGTTAGTCGAATTCGACACTCCAGATAAAATAATTTACATGCCACATTGCGGCAGGAGGTAAGGAAAAGATACATCGGGTCGACTAACTCCCCTTAATCATGCTTCTATTAAATATAAGGTGACTAAATGAGGAGATACTCGGTCTCTATATCCCTTTTACGCTGTCTCGAGTTCGCGCGCTCTGTTTACGATATTGAAAAGGGCATCATAGCCAAAAATGGTCCTTAAAGGGATGAAAGAAAACATAGGGCCACTCGCCCCCACGACCTCCGACCCCTCCACTCGCCGCAGCCTGTTCCCCGGCTCCTGTTGGCCGGTGCAGACGAGCCGAGCCTAGCGCCGTTTTGTGACGGCATACTCCCCACGGAAATGCCACGTCACAATAGATAGAAGGAAAGTATTGAGTTACTAATCCATCTAGCTGGAAGTTTTAATGTCAAAACTGGTATTGAAAGAAAACTGAAACTAGTGTCGAAAGAAAATTAAAACTGGTGTCGAAAGAAACTACAAATTATTATAATATACATAGAAGGAAAGTATTGAGTTACTATTACACCTAGCTGGAAGTTTTAATGTCAAAACTGGTATCGAAAGAAAATTGAATTATTATATCTAATGTAAAGGTAAAAGAGGAGTCGAGATATAATCTGATATCATTTGGTATCAGTTTGGTATCAGTTTGGTATCAGTTTGGTATCAGTTTGGTATCAGTTTGGAAGGATCGATACCAGAAATCACTAATGTAAATGTGTCGATCGATGTGAAACTTAGAAAAGAAGATGATACAAGTATTAATAGAAAGTTATGAATAAACTGCATATTATCTAATTTAATATCGGTATAAGCAAGGTATCAGTGTGAAAGGATCAATACCAGAACGAAATATTTATAACCTAAAAATGTCATCAATTTCTAACCTGAAAAAATATAATGTTATCGATCTCAACATGAACGTAAGAATATATATGTACGTCCATGGATCTCAATAATTCGAAAAAGCATCCATTTGTCATTATATAGAAGAAACGACCCGTCAACACGTCGAGGATGAAAACCAATCAGAAATGCAACGAATGTGACCACGAGGTAAAGCGTAATTCTGATTGGTTTTTCATCCTCGATGCGTTAACGCGTCGTACTCGGTGTGATCGTCGATCGTTGCAGGGTTGAGCGCCACAGTTCATTATCATTCCGCGAGGGGCGCCATCGAATGTCGTACAAAAAGTCGTATGAGGGTTGACCTATCATGTGAGTGCGAAAATGGTAGTTCGTGACTGGAGGGACGACGATGACGATATGAGAACAACGATTCTGAGAGTGCCGAAAACTTTATCGTGCCATATCTTTACGTACATAGCAGCAATCAGAGTCGGGTAAATTTTAAAAAATTCCTGATTTTTTACTGAATTTTTTGAGTTGATCGAAAGTTTATTTCTTTATCTGTAGCAAAGAAGAAATTATATTTTCATTTCCCCCACTCCTGAAATCCTGATCCTTACTGTATATAACTCTGTAGCGTCTCGCATCGCTCAACGCTACGAGTTTCTCGCTCAAAAATGTATTTGGCTCGAAACTCTACCGAGTTTCTCGATAAGTACATTGAGCTCACGTAGTTTCTTACTATCTCACATAACCTGATCGAGATCAATTCACTAAAAGTTGGTGCAACTCGTCTCTTTTATACGCTTGTAAAAATGATAAGGGGTTTCCTGGAATCGCTAACGAAAAGAATTGGAAGCAACTGAGAAAATGTCTGTCTGTCAGATCTCTGGGTTGTACGATGAAAACCATAGAAGGTTGTAAAAGAATGATGAGTATGGTCTAGAAGGACCTCCCGATGAGGTGTAACGTGATTTTGATGACGGTTTTTCAAGCGGTTGCCGACGCAGATGCCGAAAGAATTTCTAGAATCGACTGATTATCAATGCAATTTCTATTGCTCAGATGAAGGTGAAATTCAACGACTGCTGAGGGAGAATCGACAAATTGCACCGTGAATCTTCTGTGGAAGGAAGCTGCAAAGGTGCCGGCATAATTTTTGGAATAATATTACTGATGACAAAATTTCTTTTATTTAGACTAATGTGAAGTCCAATATTCTTCAGGGAGATATGGCAAATCCGTGGAATTGATTTTCGACCTCGAGGTCGAGGGTGAGAGGATGAAGGGGTCGAAAAATTCCTGAAATCCAATGTCTGCGGGGGTGAGAGAGAAAGCTTCTTGAAACGTTGCGTAAGCGTTTTAGTGGGCCGAGGAAAGGGGATTGAAGAGGCTGTTGAAGGTAAGGGGGACGTCACTCTTCGACACCCACCTCATACGTATAGGCCTGCAGCGCGCAAGCATGTGGTCCTGTAAGTGTGCACACACAAATTTATCCAGAACCGCCCCTGTATACAGTAACTTTTCTCGCGTACCTACCTACCCCCCGGCCGATTGCACTATGTCGTGCACTCGGGCGGTCGCCAGGAAGTGTCTTACTTTTCGTCGTCCCGCACCGCTTGTCACCCGAGGAACGTCACGATTACGTCACGCCAGGGGACTAGACGGGGGGTACGAGACCGTCTCCGGTATACGCGGTGCCTGCTTTACCTCGTCAGTCACGGAATCGCCCCGCGCAGCTGAACACCCGAGGAACGTCGCTTCGTCGTCAGGCCGGGGAGGCACGCAAGAGCGAGAACCTGGCCGCGGACTGTGTCGCTGCCGCGTGGAAGGGGAATGACGCCTTGCCGTCACATCTCTCACCGTGAGCGAGCCACTTCGTCGAATTTCCTGAAAAGTGACGATGGTTCCCGGAAAGGGAGTCCGTCGATTGTGCAACCGTTCGCAGGTGGTTCGAGGTATCCCGACCGGACGCCTTACCGGCGCTTTCCTTGGGTGCTCGGTTCCATCTGCTTACTACGGGAAAAAATTATGAGCTCGTAAAGGATGACATCTGGTGCCTCGTCTCCGGAGCGAATGAACCTGCTTGCTAGGGGGTGTGGTGCCTTACCGTCACGTCTTGCAAAGTTATTGCTTAAGGGTACTTCTGGAGGAGCAGCGCCTTGCTACCACGTCCAGAGGCTATTTTGATCGGCACAGGTCGATCAGAAAAGGCCTTGAGTGGAGAAAATCCGCGCCTTTCATACCCGCGGAATCTATGGTCCCTATAGCTATATCGTCAGGTATCCACTCTGGCCCGCATTCTTTGATGTGCAGTTAGACACGGTGGTTGCCCTTAGACGATTTCCTAATTTCTGTCTCCTTGATTCATCGGGGTCAAGGTCGCGGTCGTTTCCTCCAATCGGGATGATTTATGTTGTCGTGAGATTTAAGATCGAGTTTTCATCTTGCGACCTTGCGACTTTACCCTTGTTTGTGTACGCTCTCGGCGCGCCGAGCAAGCGGTCGTTTTTATATTCCCCGCGGAGTCGGTATCGCGTTTACTAAGGTCTAGCGAGGACTTGATTTTGTCTATCCTTCACATGTATCGGGTCGAATACTTTCGGCACGTCGTAATACGTACTTACTCATATAAAACCATAAAATACACGCATATCATAGAAATTCAAACAATAGATTTTCTGAACATTTGTCTTTATTCCATATCACGTCGAAAATCCCACCAAAAAATCCTACTTTACGATTCAAGTTGGCTTCTCTCTCTCTACATTCGCAATTGTATGTACGTGTGCGAATGAAATCAGCTCAGTTTCACTCAATTGCTCAAAATTTCCGGCCTCGGTTTCCACTTAGTCGCTACGTAACGCTCACAAAGATGAATATAAATAGTAATTAACTGGTCAAAAATTAATAAATGTTTACTTTCTGGCGTGCTCTCATTCCTGAAAATGGGACTTTACACTACCGTGATATCAGACGTTTCACTTCAACAATGATAGGTTTCTATGATGACATATGAATTATTAGAACTGGGATTCCATCTGAAATATTCCAGACACTTTAGCAACATCGAACGTTTCTCCTTGTGAATTCTTGAAGTTATGAAAAATAATCATTTTGCCTGAATCAATCCTCAGGGATATGAGCATTCAGTATTTCTACACGAAGAATGAGAACAATTCATACAACTACACAGAGATGATATATACAAACACCCTTCCCTTTTCGCCGAAAACTGCGTTCGCTTATTTTTCCATCGTCGGCGCAGAACAACTCTGCGTGTTTTATGCAACAATGATTTGGATATCCTGCGATGTTCTGTTCGCTAATGTAACCATCTATGCTGCCATCCACTTTCGCGTAAGCAACCACACACATGGATACATATTTAGTCACTGAGACGTTCCACAGTACTTTTTAATAAAGAAAAAAGTTTGGGACGGTTTCTAAAAGTATAGTTCTTTGTTTGAGGAGAAGAACTAATGCAGGAACTTCCTTTCAAAATATCGTACTTCTAAAAATTACTTTTTTCGTGCAATTTATGAACGATTAGGAACTGCTGAGACTTTTACTTTAACTAACGTTGGCAGATTCTGCGAAATGAGCTGGAGAACATATTCAACGAAGAACATATAGCGCAATCCGATAATGTCATTCGCTTGAAGATTGTAATCCTTGTGAAACGTCATTTGGAACTATTCAGGTACAATCTGTAAGGATACATTTAACCCTTAAATGTATAAAACTGTAACGGAGTTACCAAATCTATACAGTCGACCTTCATGTCAACTAAATAATACATTATAAACACCTGCATTTTAGGTTAAGACAATTTATTACTGATTATATTTTGCAGTCTATGCGATGCAATTGAGGACATATTCAGTCCGATATTAATGATGTCGCTGTTGCTGTGCGCTGCGACCATGTGTATCTGCATGTATCAAATAGAAAAGGTCATTTACTAACTTAACTTCTGATATCTTTTCTACGATTATTTATACTGAATATATATTTTTCTTTATACATTCTAGATGCTGTCCATGGGAGCCTACGTTGAGTTAATGATGAACGCAATGCACCTGTTCGTTCTATTCTTGATGACACTGATGTTTTGTGGGTTCGCGACATTACTGAGTGACCAGGCAAGTTCCTGAATCTATTGTTAGAAAACCCACATGGAACAAAATCTCTAATATACGCTGTGACGTGACGAATTTTTCGCCCGTAACAAGGGGGGTTCGGAGCTGGAGTTGGAAGGAGTTCTTCTGGCAATCACTAACCTAAGATTTATTTTTGTTATTTTAAAATGTGGAAATTTTGCGGTATGCATTCCCTGTGCCCAGAAGCGACACGCGTTGGTGCGCATCGGCGAACCAATTCGGTTTACAGACTGGCAGAATGCGCGCGGGAACCCGATTTGGGGGCTCTGCTGCCATCAGTCGGGCACCGCCATAATTAGGCGGCCCAGTATCCCAATTTAAGTAGACCAGATGGCGAGACGGAGCGCCAGGATTAACTTCCGTCGGGGCCAACTAGGGGGAAGACGGCGCTAGATACGAAGACTTTCCGACGGGACGGACATTGCCAGATGGACCACTGTCCAGGCTGCCGCGTTCCGTTTTCCAGCGCAGCGAGGTCTACCGTCCTGTTCCCGTCGAGAACCCTCTTCGCCGAGGTATACTCCTAGCATACGATGATTTTGGTGCTCGCTAAATAAAATATTATTTTCAAATTTAGTTTCTAATATTTTTATTTGTTTCGATATAGTTTTTAGTATTTGTGTTCGGTTTGCGGAAGCAGAACATCTTGTACATGCAACATAGCTGAAACCAAATGTACTGTGACATACTGTGGCAAAAAGATTTCAGCTGGGATTTTAATGAACTGAATGTTCTGCTATATTTGGCAAAAATATATGATTTGAACTTTTCATGGGAATGGAGCAATTTGAGCTAGTTTTGCAATTATTTGAATAAAGATAAATGTATTTCATTAAATCTTTGTACACCGAAGGTGTGTTTGAGGAGATTCCACTCCTTTTTGTCAAACATTCTCTAATCTGAACATTAGGTGTTTCTATTTCTGTACACACGGAGTTCCAAAAATAATGTCGAACATCTGCTGATTGCAGTTGTTTGACATTTTTAGGTTATTTGTATCAAGAAACTCGGCAAAGTTTCGAGCCAAATACATTTTTGAGCGAGAAACTCGTAGCGTTGAGCGTTGCGGAAAACGCGCCCTGCGCATTGAGTTCAAGCGTGACGCTATCCCGGTATAAAGGCTTGAATACAATAGGATTCAATGTCTCATAGTTTCAACGTAAAAGTGATGATTTTTCTATTCTATTTAATACCTGATTTTTCTCTCCAGGTCCAATTCCCACAACAGGAATATATTTTCTGTGAATCAATTATAATCTATTCTCCTTTTGTATTCTGATTTTTGTGCAATTCCGAAAAGAGGAATATATTTCTGCTTTGTTTAATTCCTTCTAGTCCGGTAAGAAATGTCGATATTAAATTGTTTCGTATTCTGTTCACAGGAATACATTATAGGAATGCCTAATTCCTTCCAATTCCTTTAAAGAATTTGTATATTTAATTGCTTTGAATTCTTTTTTTGGAATATAAGTTTATAAGTTCAAATTTAAATCAATTCCACTTTATATACCCGAGAGATTAAGTAGTTGAATTCCAATATTTGAGATTGGTTTCAAATGTATTGTTTTCTCCTGAATTCCAAATATAAATTTGATTAAACCTCATGCATTTTAAAAAGTATTTACTAAATAAACATGAAATAGGAGAAGGTATCATTGGAAAGAATTGTAAAAAATTGCCATTGTAATTTACGCAATAATTAGTTACGCCTTTAATGTCAATACACGGAAAGAAATAATTTTATTATAATTACTATAGTGACATGGTCAAAGTACTGTGGTAAATGAAACCGCATAAATAGTGAAATTGACCACATAGAATGATAAACGTAACCTTGCCAATAGGTACTGTGTCCATGGCGCTGGGCTTAAAAGGTGCAGTAGTAATCAACATTTCAAATGGTAATATTAACTTTATGAACAGCTTATAATAACTATAATAAGATACAAGGTTTATCTGGTAGCTGTAACCACAATTATGGTAAGACTTTACATATTGCAAGGTTACTCTAAACTTGCTTATGTAATTACGGAAACAATGGTTTGGCACCATTAGTTTCGACAGAACCACCAGATGGCCAAACTTCTCACAGGCCATGCAGACAGTTCGTTTGCATATAAGACCTGTTATTATTCCTTGCATTTATGTTATAATGACCCTACCCCTTCTCGAAGGAGAGGGAAAAGGGAAGTTATCATCGAGAAAGCATCCTTTTGAGCATAAAATATTATTTTACTACTTAAGGTAGAAATATATGAGGATACTGACAGGAACTTAAGTATAACGTACGTAATCATAAAAATCGAATTTTTTTCGTTTTTTTCTTTTTTCCGTGGAAATAAAAAAATTTGTTTCAATTCCACAAGGAGTATTGAGATTCATATTCCTTTGCCTATTCCAATTCTCGTATTTTTGAATTCCTTCGAATCTCATTCCCCTCTATTTTTCAGAGTGAATTGATAGGAATTAGATTTTGCTTTTTTCTTTTATCGCCAATGGAATGAAGGGCAATGGAAAAATCAGGTATTCAGTGGAATTAAAATTTTTAATTCCAATGAATTCCAGCCTTCTTACCGGGTACAGAGTTATATACAGTACGGATCAGGATTTCAGGAGTGGGGGAAATGAAAATATAATTTCTTCATTGCTACAGATAAAGAAATAAACTTCCGATCAACTAAAGAAATCCAGCAAAAAATCAGGAATTTTTTTAATTTACCCGATTCTGATTGCTGCTATCTACATAAAGATATGGCACGGTAATATTTTCGGCACTCTCAGAATCGTTGTTCTCGTATCGTCATCGTCGTCCCTCCAGTCACGGACTAGCATTTTTGCGTTCACATGATAGGTGGACTGTTATATAGTTTCTGGACAGCCAGCATGCGGAACCGCCTCGCGCGGAACCAAAAGAAACTATACCCACCCCAGCTTGAAAATGGTTGGATTTTCACGGAAAAAAGGTTTCTTGATGTTTTTGAGATCGCCGAAGCCAAGTCAAATAATATAATTTAAAAATTCAAACTGGCGGACCCAGTATGGCGAATAATATTATTTCAAAATGATTGGATAATTATGAAAATCAGTTTAGCGTGGTTTTTATAACCGCTTAATCCAAATCTGGTAATAGAATTTTGAAAATCAAGATGGCTGATCCAATATGGCGGATAAAAATATAAAAATGGTTGGATTTTTATGAAAATGAGTTTCTTATGGTAGTCGTGCCAGCTGAATCCAAATCTATCAACAAAATTCCGAAATTCAAAATGGCGGGAGGGAAATAACAAAATGTTAGCATTTTCATAAGAAAAAAAGAGATTCGTAAATTTTTGAGGTTGCTGAATCCGAATCTGGCAACAGAATTTTAAAATGCACAATGGCGGATAAAAAATTTTAAAACGGTTAAAATTTTGTTCGAAAAAATTATTTTTCCAGATCTTAAGGGTCATTGCTTCCAAATCTGTAAACAACATTTTTAAATGCTGAATGGTGGATCCAATATAGCGGATAAAATGTAAAAATGGTTGGATTCTTATAAAACTGTGATTTTCAGGGTTTTTGTGGTCGCTAAATCCAAATTTGATAGTAACATTTTAAAATTTACATTGGCGGATAAATTATGGTGCCATTCAAAATGCTAAGGGTGTTAATATAAAAAAATATATTTATATATTGTTACGTCCCACGTAACTCTCCCTGCGCGTGCATTGGCCCGCGTATCGAACTAGCCCGGGAGGCCCAGGATTTTTCTTCTTCAAAGTAATAGACTCATCGAGTCTGAAATTCGTTCTTTTCAATTCAGACAACCGAGGGCCCCCCCATCTTAGTTCTCACGACAGACTGTCACCACGCTACGTAAATAGTAAATAAGTCGAAAGGGGTCCCGAAGACCTCGAGCCTAGCTGCTCCCCGTAATATTCAAAATATTTAAGACAAGGGGACCCCGCGATGACGGATACCACCCTTGCACGGGCGAGCTCGTGAGTCCCGGCAGAATGGCGACATTAAGAATCTGTCCCCAGAAAAGTAAACATTAACTTCCGTCTCCCGAGGACACTTCTCCAAAATTCTTCGCCCCGAACTCCTCTTCCTAAACACGTATTTTTCAACCCCTTCCTCCAATAAGAGATTTTTTCCTAACCCTACTCCTTTCCCTAAAACATGGTTTTAACTCTTTCCTCCAATGGGAGATTTTTCCAAACCCCACCATCGGGGACTTAAGTCATTTTCATGCCCCACTACCGGAATTTCGGGACTCAAGCTTCGGGGGTAGAAATAATATAAAAACTAGTGTTTAAACAGCGAGCGCCAGTCACAGTCATAAGAAATTACAGTCAGACATAAGATCAGAAGTTATAAGATACGACCAAAAACAATTTTGGTGTAAAAAAAAAAGATAAGTTCATTGCCTGATGTCACTTCACCTTCTGGAATCACTACGAACATTCTTACAAAGAATCAGTTGCCACTATTTTATTATTCATTATTCTGATTTCAGTATTCATTATTCTGATTGTTAGCGAAACCTTCGCGCACGTTTAAAAAGATCGAAGACTTCCAGGAAAGAGAATCGGGCTGGTCGCTGTTGGAAGTTATACATTTGACGGTGAACATCAACGGATACATTCCCATCCACGGTGGCTTGTCGACTTTCATCGAATTACCTGAAGATATTCAACGCAAGAAAGCAGTTGTGAACATTAAGAATAGTGATCCCTTTTGCTTCCTCTGGTCGGTAAATGCAGTTCTGCATCCAGCGACGTCTCACGTAAACTTAATCGATTCGTACCCGCATTTCAGTTCAGTGTTAAATTACGAAGGTTTGAATTTTCCCATTAGTTTGAAGGACGTGCCAAAGATTGAAAGGATGAATAATTTAAAAATTAATATTTACGGTACGGCATAGAACGCGATAAAAATAGTAGCGTGGTCGTACCGATTTATCTAACAAGGAAACATTCCCAAGTGTCCGCCTCCGATCTTATTGAGTTTCATATATGTTGAAGAACACAAAAATCTAAGAGACACGTGTTTTTTTATATCTGCAATGGTCCACGTTTAAGGGGTGAAAAAACCCCCCAAAGTTTAGCGAAAAATCGGTTTTTTAAATATTTTTCGTAGAAGCAGTGGAGGGAT